GGAGAACCGGACCGGGGCCGAACCCCCGCTGCACCTTTTCCCCGCTCCCGTCCTCACCGGCATCACCGTCGCCTGCGTCCTCCTCTTCGTCATCGGGATCATCGGCAACCTCATGACCATGCTGGTGGTGTCGCGGTTCCGGGACATGAGGACCACCACCAACTTCTACCTGTCCAGCATGGCCTTCTCCGACCTGCTCATCTTCCTCTGCATGCCCCTGGACCTCTTCCGCCTCTGGCAGTACCGGCCCTGGAACTTTGGGGACGTCCTGTGCAAGCTCTTCCAGTTTGTCAGCGAGAGCTGCACCTACTCCACCATCCTCAACATCACCGCCCTCAGCGTGGAGCGCTACGTCGCCATCTGCTTCCCCCTCCGAGCCAAAGTCATCATCACCAAGAGGAAGGTCAAGCTGGTCATCCTCTTCCTCTGGGCCATCTCCTTCATTAGCGCCGGACCCATCTTTGTCCTGGTGGGGGTCGAGCACGAGAACGGCACGAACCCCCTGAGCACCAACGAGTGCCGAGCCACGGAATACGCCATCCGCTCGGGGCTCCTCACCATCATGGTCTGGACCTCCAGCATCTTCTTCTTTCTGCCCGTGTTCTGCCTGACCGTGCTGTACAGCCTCATTGGGAGGAAGCTCTGGAGGAGGAAGAGAAAGAACATCGGTCCAAACGCTGTCATCAGGGATAAGAACAACAAGCAAACTGTGAAAATGTTAGGTATGACTCTTCCTGCTCTGCTTTTCCAAAGGATGTGTGTGCTTGTGTGTGTGTGAGAGACAGAGAGAGGAAGGCAGAGAGAGCTCTGGTAGTTCACTACAGTTGCTTCCAAAGGAAAGCATTTGTTGAAAATGTTTCATACACCTCAAGGTATTCATAGACCAGCTCTCCTCCTCCCTTAGATTTACTTCTAACTGGTTTGAGCTGGAGACTCAAATAGTTAAACAAATGTTTACAACAATCACAGACAAGGACAAATACTACACAAGTGCCCTGGAGATTTTTTAACATTTTTGCTCTTTAGTTGTGGATACCAATGTTATTTACAGAAGGATAGTTTATTTGATTTTTAAACAAACCCAAAATCTCCTCAATCCACATGGCTGAGCTTCAGACTAAGCAAGCAGGATAGGATGTGCACACAGTTTCATATCAAAAGAGTATCAAAGTTTTAAATCGGGGTTATTTACTAGCATGGCTGTGCCAGCTTATGAAAATTAATTGCATTTTTCTATTAGCAAGGCAGCAGGATGTGCTGGGCAAGGAGCATTGTGTCTCCTCCACAGTCTGTGATCCTGTAAATTCTGACTTCAAGAAAACAGGACTGGGATGACAGGCACTGGCATTCCCAACTTTGTGCATTTACATTGCTGCATGGTTTAAACAAGAGCTCATTGCCACATGCAAACAACAAACTTCAACATAGTAAGGCAGTGCATTGGGTGGGAGTTTGATGCACAGAAGCAAGAAGTTGTTCTGGAGTTTAGTGGCTGACAACTGCAGAACCCTGCTGCTGCTGCTGCGTACTTTTATCCAAGGAAAAAGTCCTCCTCTGCAGTGCAAGTCATCCCGTGGCTTTCCGTGGGGACACGATGCTCTGCATGAGGAAGGTTGCACGGGCAGCAGCTCTTCTGTGCTCGTTTCAGCTGGGTTGAAGTGATGGGCTAATGAGCTACACAGAGGTGGCACCGTGTCCTAAGCACCTTAATTAGGAATCGGGAGCCTAACTGCTGTTTTGTTCGTGTCCTACTTTATTACGATGCAACAGCAGGAGGAATAATAAAACCCATGGCATTCTTTGTGCCCTTTCAGCTACGTTTTATGATCAATAGATTCAGCCTGGTAAGCGTGACCTTGGAAGTAATTAATCATTTACACTTCTAGAGTTTCAGGATTATGAATCTCTACTTACAATAAGTAAATTGCTAGCATATATTACCACCATGTTTATATTTCTGTATACTTTAAAGAATTCTGAAAGAATAACTGTTTATTTCTGCCCTAAAGTATTGCCACAAGCACTACAATATTTCAGACACTTTTTTTTTTTTTTCCCCCTTTTACAAGGTCTGAGAACAGCAAGACAGTGGCAAGACTGTTCTCTGACAGGAGCCAATATTCACTAAATGATACCAGTCTGATGGAAAGATGGAAGGAAGGTAGTAAGGGCTCAGCACCAGCAGATGCTCAGTGCAGTTTGCTCTCACTGGTTTTAACGTTCTGCTTAAAAATTAGAAGGCACTTTAGCAAGTCATGGAACATCACGTAAACAGCAGTAGCTTTTCAGCTGTAGAGAAAGGTTGTGCTTCTAGGTCAGTAATTAAACACTTAAATGTATAGCCTGCCTTGCAAAGGAGCTATCATACCCTTTTCTACTGAAACCAGGGTGATTCTGCATGTATGAAGATCAAGCTGTCAGAAGCCTGACTAGGGGTAGGCATGCCTACATGGGAAAATATTGATTATGCTTTAACTTCTGTTCATAGTGACCACCATGGTAATATGCATTACATGGTTTAAACTCCACTTGTGGGCAAGAGAAGCATCACTTGAATTTTGTAGGTGATTTTTTGCTCAATATCTTCAAGTGGCTGGGTCAGGAAGATGCAGAACTGGAAAACATGCTCTGAACCTCAGCTCTGTGCTTTTGAGTCCACCAAAAGTCCTGCATAAGTATCCATTTAAACTTGGGAATACTTGTTCAGAAAGTTTTTTGGGAAAGATGCCTATAGTCACCCCTCTTAGCTCTTTGAATTTTGTTATCAGCTGTGCCCTGGCATGAGAAAGCAGGATTGCTAACCCAAGAGAACAGGTTAACTGGTAAAAATTGCTTAAGAATGTCAAAAAACCTTGCTTGAGTTTTCTGGTTTTTCTCTCTCTGGTGTATTAATAGATACACTCAAAGCAATATGAAAAATAATAAAGGTCAATAGCACAGAGGAAATGAACAGAAAACATTTCCCTTTCTCTAGAATGGAAATTCAAGAGGGCCAGTGTTAAAAAAACCACCACACATTCCTATTATTCTGCATCCATTATATACATATAAATGCAACCACAGTGATAGTGGAATAGTACAGATCTACTGTATGACTATCGTTATGTACTTACATATTTAGTTTTACTCTTCTTGTAGTAGCTTGTGTTCAAAAAACGGACAAACTGGAGGGGTGCACTACTTGTGTTCTCACCTTGGCACACATGCTCTTCAAGTCCACGTTCTGGTGGTGTATTTGATTTTTGGGCTTTTGCCTTAAATAATTTTGCTTCTCCTGAAATACATTTGCTTACCAGAGATAAAGTTACCCATTATAAACCACAGTGTTGAGTCTGTCACATTCTATCTATCATTTGCGTTTGTTAAACACTGCAGATGGTAGATTGTTCTACTTTTTTGTCACCATTTTCATTCTTTAATTCTCTATGAAAATGCTAAGTTTTAGAGGTCAGAAGTATGTTATGTCAGGTTAGTTGTGCATTATACAGGCACCCTGTTTAGAGATGATCAATGTGTATTACCAAGTTATACTCTCATAGAATGAACTGAGAGACACAAAACTGAAAACTGCATTTTCACACTTTGTGATTAATTTGGTAAAGAAACAGAATTTTAACATCTAATTTTAATCACCCATATTTTTATGCTCTCACTTAACACAGTCTCTTCTGCTGTTTTTATTTTAGTTGTGGTGGTATTTGCTTTCATACTCTGCTGGTTGCCTTTTCACGTAGGACGATACTTATTTTCCAAATCCTTTGAAGCTGGATCCTTGGAGATAGCAGTGATCAGCCAGTACTGCAACCTGGTGTCCTTTGTCCTCTTCTACCTTAGTGCAGCCATCAACCCCATCCTCTACAACATCATGTCCAAGAAGTACCGCGTGGCCGCTTGCCGGCTCTTTGGCCTCAAACCCCTCCCAAAGCAAAGACTCTCCAGCACCAAGCAGGAAAGTTCCCTAGTGTGGACAGAACCCAGTGTTGTTACATGATACCTGGATTCCAGCACCAGAGCATCACTCACCTGGATTTTCCAGAAAGCCATAACGAAAGAGGGCGAGAAACACAAATGGCAACGTCCCAGTTGTACTTCAGGCATCGTCTGGATGTGCTGAAAGGCAGAATGTAGGCAGTTAAAGATCTAAAAAACACAACCTTTGAGACTATAAAAGGAGGGACATGGTCACGGAATTCGGCAACTCTCAAGTATCATTTTTCTGCTGCTTTTGCCCATGTGTTTTAGTGCTGACTTGAGCAGATGAGCTGGGCTTTCCCATTCTTAGCAGGCAAACGTAGCCCAGTTTGCTTGAGAGTTTGCCTGACTTCAGCACCAGCTCAGTCAAGCTGAATTTTTCCAGAGTTAACTTTACTTTTGCTAAGAATTTTGCTAGCCTATCCCTCAGCCCTAGAGAGAGAAAATTGAATTGCCTCTTTGGAGTAGCAAATACGGAATTTGATACACTTTTCATAATCTTGATTTTTAAATAAACTGACATTTTTCTCTAGAGGAGGAAAATGATTTCTTAAAAAAGAAAATGAGAAATAAAATGGATAATTTTTAAACGGGCTAAAAATAGATGACCTTCCTGTCACGTGTGAGTAGAAAGGAAATTTAAAAAAAAACCTTACACAGAAGTGGCTCAGAGCATGACTGTACTGAAATATTTTTTTTTAAAATATATATCAGTGGAATAAGGACAGTGCTGACTTCAGGACTGCAGTGATGCTATAAAAATACAGAATGCAATCTCCCACCAAAGTCATATGTTTTTCTACCAGCTAGATCATCTGTACTTGTTGTGTTCAGCTTGACGGCGTTCAGCTTGACGGCAAGCAACTTGATGTGTTTGACCCTGTAAGCTTTTAGCTGTTTTGCTATTTGTAGCAAGTCTGTGGCTCCCTGTCCCTGTGCTGTGCAGATCCATGCCCCCAGGGGCTGCTGAGACAGGTCTCCTGCCTGCAAACCATCACTGCTGTCTGTTCAAAGCCTCTTGCTGGTAGCACAGCCACCCATAAAGCCCCGTTTGCTGTTGTACTTGTTTGCTGCAGTGTTAAATTCAGAACATTCTTTTTTCAGCAACAGGATGTGACAAAGTAATAGAAAAATCTGCCTTAAAAGACACTGGTGGACACATTTTCATATATGATCCATAAAAATCTTAAACTCAAGTGGTTTTTATAACTCAATGATGCCATTCAAAGGCAAACCAGAAAACTTTCAGTCCTTTATGCTAATGAGTATGTCTGATACTGCTTTGATTGTCACACCAACAGGTAGATTTTGTGGTCCAGCTTATAGAGCTCCAGAGCATGCATGTGCAATAGCAGCTTTTTATTTATTTTGTTCTAATATTTATTACCAGCTGGTCCATAATTGATGCTCCATAAGGAACTGTCTGTCCAGCAGAAGTCCTGCCACCTCCAGACCCCTGTTAACGCTGATGGGCCTTGTTCTCCTGTCACACCTTAAGCTGAGGGTGCTGCCCATGTATAACTCAAAAGAGAATTTGGCCTCTCTTGTATCTACAGTGTCTTTTATTTCACCCAGCTCTTTTCTAGGGCCAGGAGGCCAATAGCTGCTCAGTGATGTGGCATCCAAGCCTGTCTTGCTCCAGCACCCACAGCTAGCACAGGTTTGATGTGTGCAAACCTATAGAGGAGCAGCAGTGCTATAGGAACATCTGCTTCACCTCTCACCACGTTCCACCTTAGTCCCCGTTTTGTTCTCTTGCTTGTTGTGGACTGACAACACCATATCTGATGGCAGATGTCATGCAACTCAGGGAAACAAGAAATTTGGGAATCTTGAAAAGGCTGAGAAGATGTGAGCTCAACCAAGAACACGTCTGTGTAAATGAACTGACCGCACACCTGGCATCACCTAAGTGTTTCAAATCTCAGCTGTGTCTGTGGTATTAAATGTGAACAGAAAAAGAAATAAAGTCATGAGACCCTTTAGAAGCAGTGGAAGATCTGGTGTGACTGCAGAAGTGGTGGAGAACTGAGTCTCCCACCTCTCCTCACAGGAGCTGGGTACAGCCCTGGGCACTGCAGGACTGGCCACAGGCAGGGCAGTACCCATGGCTTCTGGGGGGGCACAAAACTGGTCCTGGTGTCACCCATAGCATATGGGACATCCTCACTTGCTTGGTTCACCTGTGTCTCAGATATAGGAAGCAATTCTGCTCGGACAGGTTGGTCCCACAGAGGCCTGTCCCTAGCAGAGAAGCTGCATCGTTGGCTTTTAATTTTTTCTCACCACACCTGTATAACTGACTTGATTCAGCTATTTAATTTATTTATTTTTTTTTTTTAACCAGAATAACTGTAACATGAAGGCCCTGTCTAGGCTTTAAACTCTGCATATAAACATTCAAATAATGTCATTTAACCTCACACTTCACCAGGAGAGAGCAAATTTTAACTACACCAACACAGTGAAATTGCCACCACTTTGTGTATAGAAGATTTAAAAGCACTTAATCTGGGATCACAAAAGACAGAAAGAAGGGGACTGGCTGGAGGAGAGGACCTCTCCCTTCCTTTTCACTTAGGAAAATGACTTGTTTGTGCAAGTCATTGAACATTTGGCCCACTCTAGCAAAATACAGGCATTTTTTACTAAAGAAGAGTAGCCACCTTCATATGACTCTTGCATAAGCAGGAAAATATTTCAGATTTAGCAGGGAACATTCAAGCATCTAACAGACACTGTAGCTGTCACCCCCTCCAGCTGGCTCAGGATCAGTCATTGGTTTTGCTTCCCCCAGTACTAAAACTTTTCTAATCAGAAGTGCTAAATTCCATGGAGTCCCTTACCGGGACCACAGGTGAACAGGGTCTGCTTCTCCAAACAGGTACCAGTGCATAATAAACCACTTTTATATTGAAAACAAGAAAAAAAAAACACAAAACAATAATCTTGGTAACCTTCACTTGTAAAGTCAACTATTGTCAGATGCCTCCAGACAAGTATAAACCTCCCCAGCAGCACTGATGGATGAGTA